TGTTGATACACATAAGTCTTCGCAGAAGCTGACATATGATGTTACAGCATCTGTGAGCTCATCTAGGTCTGCAGAGGTATCTTCAAAAACATTTCAATCAGTGCAATCAAAGCAAGCCTGGAGCTTCAGCTTTGCTTCATCAGACCAAATCCTCACTGATTTAATTGTTGGTTTAATGGTTTTAAGTCTTTGTCTGTAGGCAGGTACAAGGTGAATCATGCAGTGGTCAGAGTATCCCACAGCTGCTCATGGTAAAGACTTATAAGCATCTTTTACTGTTGTGTAGCAGTGGTCTAGAGTATTTATGCCTCTGGTGGGATAATTTACATGCTGGAAATATTTTGAGAGCTCTTTCCTTAAATTTGCTTAATTGAAATCCCCTAAAATGATGGGAAGGGAATCTGAGTGTCTGGCTTCAGCCTCCATAATTTGATCAGCAAGAGTTCATAATGCCTTGTTTACACAGGCTTGTGGAGCTATACAGCTATTAGGAGAAATGAAGAGAACTCATGTGGAGAATAAAATGGCTTGCAGTTGATATGTAAAGATATGTAAAGTTTTCATCACAGAATTTATATATTATAGTTATATCCTGAGACCAGCTGTTATTGATATATAAACATAATTCTCCACCCTTTGTTTTACCTGATGTCTCTTCAATTCTTATTATAAATTCCCATTTTCATATTTATTTCATTAAATTCCATATCTAATATAGCTTTAAGAAAAAAGAAAAAAGAGAGAAAGAAAAAACAATATCAGTTCCAGTCTTAACTATTTTTAATACTTATTCTTATATATCATAACCCATTACCCTGTGGAATCTCCTTCCCTCTCCTTTTTTTACCCATTATCTCTCACTCTCCTAACAATGTAATTTTTTTTCATTCTTGTTTGCTTCCTGTTTCTCTTTATTTTCTGGTCCTTTCTCTTAATTCCCTTTTTCCCCATTATTATTCCCCTCCATTTCTCATTCCAATTATTTATTTTATTCCCCTCCTACTCTCGATCTTTCTTTTGCACTTCCCTCTTCTGCTTTTTTTCTTTCCTTTGTTTCATTTTCTGAACCATTCCCCCTTTTATAGTCACATCAAACCACAAATTTTTAATTCTCCCCCCCCCCTTAAGTAATTGTTGCTCTGCTTGATCTCCAAAGCTGGTTTCCTCTTTGTTTAACTCCTCCTCCTCTGGTTCCCTTTGTTCTTCTTCAAGCTGAATCACCATTTCTAATTTCTGTAATATATTGCTACACATTTCCATACTCACTTTCATCATTTCCTTCATATCTTGTAAATCTAATCTTATCTCAACAAGTAATTCCCCCATTGTGTCTGCTCCTTTTTTTTCTTCCTTAGTAAATATATCTGATCCAAAAATCCAGTATATTGTTTCAACCAGCATCTTTTATATTTATTTTCAACAATCAATGTCCAGAAGTCTTTGTTTCCAGGTCTTCTGTTAGGTCCTTTTCCAACTATTTCCCAAAATCACCGAGTGATTCCAAGGTAATATTTTCAAGTATCTTTCCCAGTGGTAGAATTCAGGGTTTTTTTTACTACCAGTTCTGTGGGCATGGTTTGGTGGGTATGGCAGGGGAAAGATATTGTAAAATCTCCAGTCAGAGGTGGTATTTACCGGTTTTCCGAACTACTCAAAATTTCCACTACTGGTTCTCCAGAACTGGTCAGAACCTGCTGAATACCACCTCTCATCTTTCTCCTTGTAGTATTCTAGTACCACTTTTCAGGGTTTTTATTTTATTATGATGAAGTTTCTCTTATTTTCTTTTAAATTCCAAAATCCAATTAATTAGAAAGACCACTTTTCAAAGAATCACTGAAACTTTTCTTGTACCATCAGGTGGCGCTCTTGATTCTTTTTCCAGAATCCACTCTTTCTTTAACTTTTTGTTTCTTTTCTAATTATAAAACTTTTATTAAGTTCACTAATTTCAATTATTAGCTATTATTTCTTTTCAACACATTCAATTCCAGCATTTATTTATGCCTATTTAGTGCCAAAAGTCCAATGGTTATCCAATTTAATTTCCAAGCCTTTTGTGTTCAAATATTTTTCTCTGAATTTTCTCCTCTAAGTTACTTTGTTGTAATAGTTCAAGCCAATTTTATAAGTTCCAATTTCTTTCTCACTCTCTCTAGTTGCTGCCACTACACACTTTCCTCCAAAATTGTTATTTATTTCTTAATCCCAGGTCACCTTAAAGTCCATGTATTTCTCCTGGTTCACACTCCACGCACTACCTCACCACTCCATCACAGTCTTAGTTTTCCAGACTGCTTCCCATCTTTGTGGTGGCCATTTTAGACCACCGCTGCAACTTGTCTTCGGGAGGGTTTTTTTTTTTGTCAGGGAGGGTAATTGCAGTTCCCTTCTACCCTCCAAGTGATTCCCCCTTTCTTCACCACTCCTCCAGGGTGGTTCCATTTCCAATAAGGACTCTCCAACAAGTGAGCTTGGAGCGAAATCACGAACGATTGTGGATTCCGCTCCAACTCTGATGACGAGCAACTGGAAGAAAAGCATGTGAATTGTTTCTAAGTTGAAAAATTATTCTATCATAATTTTATCACAATGTCAATTAGAATGGGGAGTTATTGATATAGAGGTGAGATAAGCAAACTTTCTTAATGGTATACAGAATAATTAATGAGGCTGATTGAAAGATAATGCTGGACATGCAGCCCATCAGTGCTATGTGTTAGTTCAGTGATAGCTAACTTTTCCGGCATTGAGTGCCCAAAGTGTGTGCATACAAATGTGCATGCATGGATGCATGCAAATCCCCAAAATGCAATGTGAACATGTCCCCATGCATGCGTGGCAGAGACCTGAAGACCAGCTGGCTGGCGGGAGGTGCACATGTATGCATGGTGGAGGTGAGCTGGGGAGACAGCTCGCATACCTACAGAGTGTGATCTGCATACCATCTCTGGCATGCGTGCCATAGGTTTGCCATCATGGTGCTAGTTCATTGTATAAACAATATTTTTTCTTGCTTGCCAGCATTGCATTTAATCAGAAATATCCCAAAATTCTAAATTGTTGTAGGACTTACAATTCCATAAAAGATTTTCAATTAAAAATCTATACTTAAGAGGAGCATAGCAGGATCAAAGCTGTTTTAAATATACTCCATCTTGGGAAAGAGAATAATAACATCTGACTGATGGAGGTGCACTAAAACATCAAACATTGCAGGAGGGTGAAAACATGCTTAAAACAGTAGGAGTTACATAAATGTTTAATTACAATGAACAAAATATTGACTTAATGATCTCAAGGGCATGTTACTACATTTGAGCAATTACTCTTAAATGGTTACCCAAATCTCTGTATTGGAATTATTTTTGTTTATGGAATGGCATAAAAATCCCAGTAAGGAAGAAGGGTGCAACTGTTTACAGAAGCCAATTTCTTTACTTGAGAAGGGGAATTGTAAAGCCACCAATTAATAATAAATGATCTGTCAAAAAGGCGGCCCACATTTTCAAACAGAGCGGAAAGTGTGCAGATGTTATCTGATATCATGGGTATGATCTCCATTGAAACAGTACAATGTTTCTTGATTGTTTGCTATTCAGGGGTTTGTATAGGAGGTAAAATTTGCTGGATTTATGCTGAGTTTGCAACTGTACCCCTCTTATGTACCAAAATAGCTAATATGAGTGTTGAATACTTACTTCTTACAGAATATCATGAGATACTTTCAATATAAACTTTAACAAAAAAAAGTTGTGCTTGAATATTTCCTAAACTGAAACTTGGTATAAGTAATTGTTAAAAGTGATTAAAAAATCTTAATGAGCAGCAAAACCTTCTCATTGCTACTTCATTAAGCAGCACTTAATTCCAGGCTGTGGCCATCAAATATATTGCTGAAGTGCCAAGAGCAGGTGGCCCCTAGAGAATCTCTGCTTATTAGATAGGAAAGGAATTTGTGTTCTTGTGCAAAATAAAGGTAGGTCATCAAATGTTAGTCTTATGGAGAGGTATAAGCCCTTCTCCTGAAGCCTCTCTAAAAATAACTACTGTGACCTGAGAAAATATACATAGTAGCCCTAGTGTCCCCAAGAACCTTTATTTTTTTCCTATAAAAAAACAGGTAGTTCTAACAAATATCACTAGAATTTTACATGGAGCAGGATGTGAAGAATAATAAGTAGGGAAGGTTGCAAAAGGGAAAAATGTATTACTATATTTCAACACAGGAATTTCCTACATCAAATTATTTCAGTGCTTCTTTTTCCTATCATGTCTTGTAAACAAATAGAATACCCTTTTGTAACATTATTTCTCTGTATTATACATTTTTGGTGCTTGTAATTCCTAAATAGGTGCCTTTCTGATATAGAGTAGGAAGTAGATAAATCTGTGTTTCAACAACAAAGGCCCCTTTTATTTTCCATTATCAATCTGGATCTTTGAAAGTAAAAAAGCAGAGAACAATACTGTCAGTAAATAGAGGAATAATGATAATTACTGTAAAGGAATCAGAAGGTAGGCTATCAAACTGGGTACTGTGAATTTAGGCTAAAGGAAAGCAAAGATCATACAATTCTTTATATCTGAATGGTGGGAATCAACTACAGAAGAGAGTTTTAAACTTCACATTCTATTATTTTCTCAGAAGCATGTTTGTTTGTTTGGACTATTCGAAACCAACATGTCTTTTTCTCTTATGTTCGTAATTACTTGATCCATGAATCTTCCACACCCAATATAATTCCAAATCATATCTCTGCGTGAAGTACTACACTTCATATGTATTTGAATACATATCTTGAAATTTCCCACACTTCTGGAATGCTTCTTACTGGGGAAGCCTGATCTGAGCTTGCTTATTTTCTGATGTGTTCCTTTCTGTTAACAGAGTGGTGAAGCAACCTGAAAATACTGTATATATTATAAATACAAAAAAGGAATCCAAATATTCATGAAAGTTGTTTCTTTCCTCCTCACTTTTTTTTTTAAATTTGCAGATGGGCTTCTTTCGCAGAAAATACAAAGAAATCATTGAGGCTGAGAAGAATAGACAAGAGAATGAAGATAGTTGGGACTGGGTCCAGAAAATCCAATGAATTATATTGGGGGTAAGGAAACATTAAAATCCTGGCCATGTGGTACACAGTTGTTCCCTATTGGTCCTGTTCTTGTATCTTCCATATATGGAAGAAGGAATCTTCTCCAGATTTTCCGGAGGCCCCATTGATTCATCATCTTACAGTAGGGAAAGTATCACTGCAGACTTTGTCAGGTGACTGAAGCAATTTATGCATCTTGGAAGAAATGAACTTCGATAATTAAACTGCAGTGCAGATCAATTTATGAATCCAACATATATGTGGTATACCCTCAGGTGAAGACTTGTGTCTGAAAAAAATATTTTTCATAAGCTTTTATACTGCTTATGTTTATATATACATATATTTATACATTCTCTCTCTCTCTCTCTCTCTCTCTCTCTCTCTCTCTCTCTCTCTGTTTCTCTCTCAACACACACCCACACCCACACACAAACACAACCACACCCACACACAGTGTGGGGGTGGGGATGTATGTATTTATGTATCAATGTTGTATGTTTTCTTTTGAGATAGATTCACAATAGCTGCTGCAGTCTTATATCCACATTTGCTTGGAAGCTAAGTTCCAATAAATTCAATAGAGCTTACTTCTAAGAACCAGTAGGTATATTAGACAATGCACTGTTAGATTGTAATGTTTTGCACACTTAACAGGGAATAAACCCAATTACATTTAGTTGGGTGTAGTGCGACTTCCTTCTGAGTAAGTTCACAAAGGACCCTGTAAAACACTGATATTCAGCGGAAATTTTGGTCATGCATATGTTTTTTTATCTATTATATTGAACTTTTGAATGTCAATGCGAAATAGAAGCAGATGAAAAGAACACAAAGATTTCATGTAGCAGTCCTGATTTTAATTTCTATAAAGCCAAATACTTTCATTTAAGAAAATCAGAAGTTAAATGTTTGCCTACATGAAATTTTTAAAAAAATGTTATTCAGGGATTAAGCATAACATCCATTTCAAAAGGAACAATTTTTTATAAATTTTGCTTCCTTTTGTTACAATGCTCAGTTGTGCAGCCCCATATATATATATGTGTGTGTGTATGTGTGTATGTATACACACACACACACACACACACACACACACATGGGGAGAGGGAGGGAGGGATAGAGACAGGAATGTGCTTTTCTTTTTTAAAAAAGTAGTAATTTACAATTTCTTGAGCTTGGCAATCCCTTGGCAGTGGTTAATGCTTGTGGGTTAATGTGATGCTCCATTTGTTTATACTTACAGCAGAGTTTTATGTTGTGTGAAGTTCAAAGTACATAGGAAATCAGCAGTAAAATTAAATATCTTGCCAAAGACTTGCTATTCACTTCCTAGTTTTGCAGTCTCAGGCAGGCAGCAAAAATGGGACATTGACATTTTGGTTTAAATTGTGTGATAAAAATCAACCATTCAGGTATTCAAGACAACTGGAGACACATGAATAATAAATAGCTTTATTATGGAGCTTTTGAAAAAGGGAATTCTGTGCTCATGAGCGGAGCTACAGAAGACATGTTTCTGAGGAGGACTGGGGTTTATATTGTTTCAAATATACAGTCTATCCAGCTACGTATCTCCCAACGCAACATCCTATTGTAGCATACCATCTGTTTCCTTGTCCTGTTTACCCATTTCCATTTCCAATAATCTCCATCATTACTATGACACTAGACAACGTGACCCACAAAATATATAACCTTTATACAAAACAATAGAGAATTCTTACATAATATTCCAGTAAATTATCTTAGGTTAACACAGAGGTTAAAAATGGTGTTATCATTGCTTTATATTTTCACAGGTATAATTTTACATATCACAATCCCCCCTTTTCTATTTCACCTGTTTATACCTGTGAATTACCATTTCCTGTTGGCTTAACCATCTCCTTTTTTTTTTTTTTTTTGGTTATGTTACAACAATATTTAACATAATAACATATAGGCATACACTGAATACAAATACAAGAAAAGAAGCCGATTATACCAATAATAATACAAATGAATAAGTCTTCCAACTCGGTAAAATTTGATAAACAAGAGGTTAATCCATATCAGATTTCCCTTTTCACCCATCTCATCAGCCATAACATCTATAGCTGATGATATTGTATTTATAGCCTTTAATATGGCACCTTATAATTTCCCTAGGAAAATAATCCTAAACACCCTGCCCCTACTTTAGATAATATATATCATTACAATCTGCAGAATATACCTCAAATGTAGATAATTTTCCCCTATACTCATGAGCCATTGTATTGGTTGAAGTGGATATATTATAATTGTTCCTGTTACCCCAGATTTAGATTTTGCCTTATTTTTGTGTACATTTTTGTGTACATGTGTCTCTCCTGTGTATCCTAAAAAAATCTACCACCATTAGAAAGACCCTCATTCATCATATCATAACTCAATTTACATGTGTATGTTCTTGGAGTTCACTACTTCCATACCTGTTGTCATATAGCATATTGCATAGGGTCCCCCTATTGCACATACAAATACATAAGCATATAAGCCAAAAAAATATAAACTACCATCTAGGTATAACACTTGTCCCATTGCATTTATCTCTTCTATTTCAGTACAAGAAAATATATCTTCAGTAGATAAGGGATTATATATTATATCCTTATCCTGTTTCTTTCCCGGGTGCTTATATTTTAACAGATTTAACAGATAACAGATAATCAGAGTTGGAAGGGACCTTGTAGGTCATCTAGTCCAACCCCCTGCCCAAGCGGGAGACCCTACACCATTTCTGACAAATGGCAGTCCAATCTTTTCTTGAAAGTCTCAAGTGATGGCGCTCCCACAACTTCCGAGGGCAAGCTGTTCCATTGGTTGATCGTTCTCACTGTCAGAAAGTTTCTCCTTATTTCCAGGTTAAATATCTCCTTGTTCAGTTTCCATCCATTATTCCTTGTCTGGCCACAGGTGCTTTAGAAAATAGCTTGACCCCTTCTTCCTCTCTGTGGCAGCCCCTCAAATATTGGAACACTTCTATCATGTCTCCCCTGGTCCTTCTCTTTACTAGACTAGCCAAGCCCAGTTCCTGCAACTGTTCATTGTATGTTTTAGCCTCCAGTCCCCTAATCATCCTGGTTGCTCTTCTCTGTACTTTTTCTAGCGGCTCAACATCTTTTTTATAATGTGGTGACCAAAACTGGATGCAGTAATCTAGGTGTGGTCTTACTAAGGCTTTATAGATTGGTATTAGTACTTCCCTTGTTCTTGATTGTATCCCTCTGGTAATACAGTTTAGGATTGCAGTAGCTTTTTTGGCTGCTGCTGCACACTGCTGGCTCATATTTAGCTGGTTGTCCACTAAGACTCCACGATCCCTCTCACAGTTACTGCTATTGAGTTTCCCAGTCTATATGTGTACTTTCAGTTTTTCTTGCCTAAGTGTAGGACTTTACTTTTCTCTAAATTGAATTTCATTTTGTTAGATACAGCCCAGTGTTCCAGTCTGTCAAGATCCATCTGGATCTTGAGCCTATCTTCTAAGGTGTTAGCTATTCCTGCCAGCTTAGTATCATCTTCAAATTTGGTAAGTTCCCCTTCTATTCCCTCATCTAAGTCGTTAATGAAGATATTGAAGAGTACTGGGCCTAAGATGGAACCTTGTTGCCCCCCACTGCTTTCTTCCCTCCATGTAGACTTAGGCCCATTAAGGACTACTCGTTGAGTACGGTTTGCCAGCCAGTTGTGAGTCCATCTAGTGGTGGTGCTATCTAGTCCACTTTCTTCTAGCTTACTAAGAAGTAGGTTGTGGTCTATTTTGTCAAATGCCTTGCTGAAATCTAAATATATTATGTCCACAGTATTTTGCTGGTCTACTAATTTAGTCACTGTGTTGAAGAATGAAATAAGATTAGTTTGGCATGATCTGTTTTTAACAAACCCGTGCTGACTGCTAGTTATTACTTTACTTGTTTCTAGATGTTGGCAGATCTGTTTTTTATTATCTTTTCCAGTATCTTCCTGGGTATTGATGTTAGGTTGATTGATCTATAGTTTCCTGGGTCTGTTTTTTTTCCCTTTTTTGAAGATGGGAACCACATCACCTCTTTTCCAGTCCTCTGGTAGTTCCCCGGTGCTCCAGGATTTTTGAAAGATATAGTGCAATGGTTCTGAGATGACCTCTGCCAGCTCCTTTAAAACTCTGGGATGTAATCCATCAGGCCCCAGTGATTTGTTTTCATCAAGATCAGACAGGTGTTCTCTTACTATTTTTTTGCTTATTTTAACTTTTATTTCTTTTATTACTCAGCTTCAACTGAGTACTTCTTAATTCAAAAATAGTCCTTCCTCCAAAGTTCTAAATCCCATATAGGAAGGTGAATAAGTACCATATAATTCAACACATTCATTATACAAAGCTTCCAGTCTTCTTAACACATCCCTATGATTGGTGACTACATCATATGTATGATTACACTTTGGATATCTACCTAAAGATAATCCATTAGCCAAGGTGGATCTTGTCACAGCTGTGGATTCAATTAGTGTCAGTGGTGCTTGCACCTGGTAATTATCACTGTTGGGTTCAGTATGGAAACATAGCTGCTGCCATGCCATAGGATAACTAGACAATACATCAAAAGCCTCCATCCTTACCCTACACCAGGTATTAACTACTATCACTATCAACTTCATGTTGCAATGTTATAAATGGACTGGACCCCCTCCCACCTTACATCTGTAGTTTATATGTCAAAACTTACAACTGGTTGTTGGGGACTTACATCCACTTCTTCTTCCTGCTTGTACCACAGCTGTTGTCTACACCAGTCTACTATCTTTTTTTCTCAATATAATTGACAACACAATATAAAAGTTTGAGCAACAAATGAGCAACTCAATCTTCCAATGTTCCACCAATTAAGTATATATGTAACTTTAAAAATGTAAGTGTAAAAGGACTTTATGCACCTTGCTTCACTATCCATTTGGAGAGTCGTTTGTCCAGACTGCTATCAGTAGTTAGCAGAATTCAGCAAGACCTGTCCCAGGCTTGGCTATTTGCTTACATCAGCTTTTTATCCAATCACCAGGTTGGAACTTACGTATAGCAAATTGGGGGGGGGGGGTAATCTCAATAGACAGCAAATTGAACTAACAGTCCTTTTTTCCTGGGGTAAGATAAAGAAAAGGAGAACCCAAGTATACAGTTCTTTACAAAAAAAAATCTTTAGTGCCATATCATGGAATTTCCAGGTATGATACTCCGAACATCATTTCATATGGTGAAATACACACAT